ACCGTGTGTGTCTCACCGTGTCTCACCGTGTCTCTGTGTGTGTCTCTGTGTGTCTCCGCAGTCTTTGCGTGTCTGGGCTTCCTGTCCCCGGCGAACCGCGGCGCTCTCATGACGTGTCTCACCGTGTCTCACCGTGTGTGTCTCACCGTGTGTGTTCACCGTGTGTCTCACCGTGTCTCACCGTGTGTGTCTCACCGTGTCTCACCGTGTCTCTCTTAGTGTGTGTCTCTGTGTGTCTCCGCAGTCTTTGCGTGTCTGGGCTTCCTGTCCCCGGCGAACCGCGGCGCTCTCATGACGTGTCTCACCGTGTCTCACCGTGTGTGTCTCACCGTGTGTGTCTCACCGTGTGTCTCAACCGTGTCTCACCGTGTCTGTCTCACCGTGTCTTCACGTGTCTCTGTGTGTGTCTCTGTGTGTCTCCGCAGTCTTTGCGTGTCTGGGCTTCCTGTCCCCGGCGAACCGCGGCGCTCTCTATGACGTGTCTCACCGTGTCTCACCGTGTGTTGTCTCACCGTGTGTGTCTCACCGTGTGTCTCACCGTGTCTCACCGTGTGTGTCTCACGTGTCCTCACCGTGTCTCTGTGGTGTGTCTCTGTGTGTCTCCCGCAGTCTTTTGCGCTGTCTGGGCTTCCTGTCCCCGGCGAACCGCGGCGCTCTCATGACGTGTCTCACCGTGTCTCACCGTGTGTGTCTCACCGTGTCTGTCTCACCGTGTGTGTCTCACCGGGTCTCACCGTGTCTGTCTCACCGTGTCTCACACCGTGTCTCTGTGTGTGTCTCTGTGTGTCTCCGCAGTCTTTGCGTGTCTGGGCTTCCTGTCCCCGGCGAACCGCGGCGCTCTCATGACTGTCTCACCGTGTCTCACCCGGTGTGTGTCTCACCGTGTGTGTCTCACCGTGTGGTCTCACCGTGTCTCACCGTTTGTGTCTCACCGTGTCTCACCGTGTCTCTGTGTGTGTCTCTGTGTGTCCTCCGCAGTCTTTGCGTGTCTGGGCTTCCTGTCCCCGCGAACCGCGGCGCTCTCATGACGTGTCTCACCGTGTCTCACCGTGTGTGTCTCACCGTGTGTGTCTCACCGTGTGTGTCTCACCGTGTCTCACCGTGTCTCTGTGTGGTCTCTGTGTGTCTCCGCAGTCTTTGCGTGTCTGGGCTTCTGTCCCCGGCGAACCGCGCGCTCTCATGACGTGTCTCACCGTGTCTCACCGTGTGTGTCTCACCGTGTGTGTCTCACCCGTGTGTCTCACCGTGTCTCACCGTGTGTGTCTCACCGTGTCTCACCGTGTCCTCTGTGTGTGTCTCTGTGTGTCTCCGCAGTCTTTGCGGTCTGGGCTTCCTGTCCCCGCGAACCGCGGCGCTCTCATGACGTGTCTCACCGTGTCTCACCGTGTGTTCTCACCGTGTGTGTCTCACGGGTATCACCGTGTGTCTCACCGTGTCTCACCGTGTGTGTCTCACCGTGTCTCACCGTGTCTCTGTGTGTGTCTCTGGGTGTCTCCGCAGGTCTTTGCGTGTCCTGGGCTTCCTGTCCCCGGCGAACCGCGGCGCTCTCATGACGTGTCCTCAACCGTGTCTCACACGTGTGTGTCTCAACACCGTGTGTGGTCTCACCGGGTGTCTCACCGTGTCTCACCGTGGTGTCTCACCGTGTCTCACCGTGTCTCTGTGTGTGTCTCTGTGTGGTCTCCGCAGTCTTTGCGTGTCTGGGCTTCCTGTCCCCGGCGAACCGCGGCGCTCTCATGACGTGCGCCGTCGTCCTCTGGGTGCTGCTCGGGACATACCGGCCGATACGTGTCGGCTCGCATGTACAAGAAGTACGCAGACTCACTCACTAAGTACTCACTAGTACTCACTCAGTACTCACTCACTCACTCAGTCACATCACCCACAGTCACTCCTCACGTCGCTCGCATGTACAAGAGTACGCAGACTCACTCACTAAGTACTCACTTAGTACTCACTCAGTATCACTCACTCACTCAGTCACTCACACCACTCACTCAACCTCGCTTGCATGTACAAGAGTACGCAGACTCACTCACTAAGAGTACTCACTTAGTATCACTCAGTACTCACTCACTCACTCAGTCACTCACTCCACTCACTCACCTCGCTGCAATGTACAAGAGTACGCAGACTCACTACGAGTACTCACTTAGTACTCACTCAGTACTCACTCACTCACAATCCAGTCACTCACCCACTCACTCACCTCGCTCGCATGTACAAGAGTACGCAGACCACTCACTAAGTACTCACTTAGTACTCATCAGTACTCACTCACTCACTCACGTACTCACTCTACCCACTCACTCACCCACTCACTCTACCACTCACGTACTCACTCAATCACTCAGTCACTCACCCACTCACTCACTCACTCGCATGTACAAGAGTACGCAGACTCACTCACTAAGTACTCACTTAGTACTCACTCAGTACTCATCACTCACGTACTCACTTAGTACTCATGTACTCACTCTACCGCTCACTCACTCGCATG